GTGAGTAGCTTGGTTCTGCCACATGTGTCATGCCATGATGGGCTGCCCTACCACAAGGCCAACTGATCATAGACTGAAACCTCCAAGCTGAGAGCTGTAGTAACCCTTTTTTTCTTATAAGTTGATTATGTCAGATATTTGTTACAGTAACGGAAAACTGACTGACACTGATCTTTCATTAGACAATCAAGGTAAAGAAAGCTCAGATGATTAAAGCATAAAAATAGAAGGTTTATTTTTTTATTTTTATTTATTTATTTATTTATTTTTTGTTTTGTTTTTTGAGACAGGGTCTCATTATGTGGTTGAGATTGACCTAGAACTCACTATGTAGCCCAGGCTGGTCTCGAACTCACAGTGATCCTCCTGCCTCAGCCTCCAGTGCTGGGATTTATGTGGTTGAGATTGACCTAGAACTCACTATGTAGCCCAGTGTGGTCTCGAACTCACAGTGATCCTCCTGCCTCAGCCTCCCAAGTGCTGGGATTACAGGCATGTGCCACCATGCCTGGCTCAAGAAGGTTTATAAAGCCAAGAATTTTCACCCCAAAGTCTTGCCACAATCATATTTTTTGTTTGTTTGGTTGGTTTTCTTGAGACAGGGTTTCATCATATATTCTAGGCTGACCTTGAACTCACTATGTGGCCCAGGCTGGCCTTCAGTTCATGGCAACCCTCCTTCCTCAGCTAGCTCCCCAAGTGTTGGGGTTACAGATATGTGCTACCATGCCTGGTTCCACAATCATGTTTTTTGAAAGGTTTTTTAAATGTTTAGTGATATGGGGCTCTTAAATGGTTGAACTTTGGCTGGCCATGATATTTGAGAATTAAGCCAATGCATTATTCCTGGTCTGAGTTTGTAGATTGCAGTCAAATTAGAAATTTAGAAATGTGTATATCTAATATATATGTAAATATATATTACACACACACATATATATTTATACATACATATATCACACATATATTCAGTAACCTGTGGAGTCTATTCTCCTCTTTAAATTTAACTAAAAGAACAGTGTAGCAACACAGATAAGGCTAACCCCAAAAGAGGCCCAACAAAAACTTGAGGATCATTACAATTCCGTATTTAGATAAAATCTTCAAGGAAAATGAAAATATACTCATGTGATGGAGAAAGTGAGTGATAACACCCCCACTTTTTTGAGACAAAGTTTTACTATGCAGTTCAGGCTGGGTCTGAACTCTCTCTCTCTCTATGTAGCCCAGGCTGGCCTCAAATTTGTAGCAATCCTTTTTGTGGGGGTACTGGAGATCAAACTCAGGACCTTGTGCTTGCGAGGCAGGCAGCAGAACCACTGAGCTAAATCCCCAGCCCTACTGCAATCCTCTTGCCTCAGCCTCCTAAATTCTAAGATTACAGGTGTGTGCCACCATTCCTGGCTAAAATGCTAATTTGTAAACTCTTTCCAAGTTCAATTTTGTGCTCATTTAAAAACTAGTGCTGTTTTCTAGTCAACAGAATATATAGACACCTTCACTCTTCTTTGTGGATTTGACCAAAGTATTTTAACATCATTAAATGGAAAATGAGGTGTAAGGCATAATGGGTGTTTTTTTGTCCCAATCTGGAATGACTCCTTGCAGCAATTACCATTGATCTAATAACACACAAAGAACGGAAGCCAGGAGTGGCAAGAGAGTGAGAATTAGCTTTGTCCTATCTTGATTGTAAAGTCCAAGGTGATCTACTTTTTTCTTTTGGATTCCTTTCACCAAGAATTAATTATCTGGAGACGTTTTCCCTCATAGCATTTTTTTGGGTAAGCTTTTCAGAAGAAATAAATATTCCTTCCAAAAAAAGGGAAACAATGGGCCGGGTATTTAGCTCAGCGGTTCGGTGGCCTGCCTTGCAAGCGCAACGACCTGAGTTCAATACCCGGTACCCAAAAAAACAAAACAAAACAAAAAAAGGGAAACAAAGCTTCATATATAAGGAGGGGAGGGGCATGAGGGGGGAATGGGATAAAATAAGACAACATTTATTTTAAAAAAATATTCCTTCCAGGTGACCCAAAACTGTCCAAGCATGTAACAACAGTTTAATATAGAGTAACGGACATATTTGAAGTTCTTTTCAGATTGCTGCATGCCTGTTCATGTCAAACCCATTGTGGCCATAATGAATTTTTTCAGTATGTTATTTTATCTCTCTGCAAATATAGAATTAAATCATTTTATGGAGGGATTAAAATTTGAGCGAGAGAACACAGCCTACTTATTCCATGAGTAAAAGGGTTTTCCCATCTATAAAAATCACATAATCATCCCAATAAATGGTTATTAAGCATTCTTTGAATTTAAAAAATAAAGTTGTGCAATCACACCTTTCCTGTTGCTATAAATATGAAGAACATGGAAAGAGGGAAAACATCAGGATTTGAGTTTGAATCTGCATCTGATAATTGCTGTGACTCAGGACAAGTCAACTCAGGGACTTGAAGCCTTGGTTTTCTTGAGTACAAGCAGGAAACCAGAACCACAAGATGCCCTGTTTAGCCTCAATTATACAAGCAGAGCAACTGGAAAGGACACACGTTCCTGCTGGGGAAATCAGAACATGCTCTAGGATAGAGGAGAGGACAATTCATCCAAATGCTTTATTTACTTATTGCTTATTATTTCTTCCTGGCAAATCAACTTGCCTTCTCAGTTTACTATGAATTTTCTGGCTTCTAACCAGTCTGTGTTATTGTTCTTGGAAAAATTACATTTGCTTTATTTTCTTTTTCTTTGTGATTTTGAAACAGGAGATGGCACTCTAACCCTTTCCTAACATAGTTTAAGTATAAAACTGCTATCATATTTTGAAGTGAGACACACCTTACACACACATTTCTACACACACACAGTTTGATAGTTAGCTTTTACCCTAAGATGATCCAAATTCTGGCATTTACTTTCCAGGGCCAGGTCTTGTCACCTTTGGTTGCTTGGTTGGTTGGCCGGGTGATGGAATGATTGAGACAGGGTCTCGATGTACAGTCCAGCCTGGCCTGGAACTCACTAGGTATCCAGGCTGGTCTCAAACTCATAGTCCTCCTGCCTCAGCCTCCCAAGTGCTAGGATTACTGACCTGTGCCACCATGCCTGTTCTCACCTTCCAGTTTTAAAACAGTATTAATTGGTTGTTTTTAAATTATGAAAGATATATTAGCCATCTAAAAATAAATCTGAAGCAGTGAGCTGTGCTGCTTTCTGGAGATGAACATAAACTAATAGTGGAACTTTTACTTTCCGGTATATGCATACACATGTCTGTGCACATGTGTGTGCATGTGAGCATGAATGTGGATTGCGCAGAAGGAACAGCTGAGTGTGAAGCAGTTGCAAAAATCAATCTCTCCCATGGGGAGCCATGGAACTGGAACATTCCTTTAGATTTGCCCACGTTGAGGCAAGGGGGCCAGACCTTTGTGTCCTACACTGATTAGTCACCGGATATGGACTGCCACCAAAATGGGGACAAAACTTTGGGCAAGGCACGTCTCTTTTTCCCAGAGCAATTTCTATGGAAGGATTCAGCCGTGGAGGCGTTGGCAGCCAATACTTCTGGCAGCTGGGGAAATGCATCCCTCAGTCCTAAAGGGGAGTTCTGTGTGGCAAACCACAGTGCCCACAGTTTATCCCTTGCACCACTTGGATCTGTTTTCTTTGTACAGTTGATTCATTCCATCTGGGAACTGCTCCAGGACTCTGAATGATCTTTCCTGGGAAAATTCTGAGAGAAAGGTTATTGGGACAAACCTCAGCCCCTGTGGTGTCTGTTTGTCTTGAGCATAGTCTCCCTCCTCTCATATGCACTCAGGTTTGGGAGTCTAGATTCCTCGGGCTCTGTACTAGTGCCTCTGCTGGTCCAGATGGTTTGTCCAGTGGTTCCCAGACTTCCACAAATGAGTGGCCTGCATTGTGGTCAGCATGCTGCTCTTAGACTGAGGCTGTTTCTGTCATCCATTTACTGGAAAAGCTGGGCTGGAGAGAAAAGAGATTTCTCAGTAGATCACCTGGGTGTGAAATGCATCCTCCCCAATCTCTATTGGTCAACAGCAACCCTATCTCCCTCTGATGATAAGGATCTGTTAATTACCCATGACAGGATGGTTACTGATAGTCTCTTGGTACAAAGAGCTGGAAATGATGGGGTGACAGCTACAGGGGACTGTTACCATGTCACCTGACATTCCCTCTGGGAAGAAGGGTCACTAGTCCTTAAAACTGAAGGGATGGGAAACTGTCCCCCAACTGGATCAATGGGAGTGACAGCAAGTGGGGCACTCATGCTTATGCTCTTCAGTTCCCAGACTCACGTAGTCTGTACTCTGGGGGCAAACATATAGTGTCATTGGTTTCGGGTGCATATTGCATCATGGAAGATGATGCTCTTTCCTTGTTGAGTATCTCCTCTAAGCGGCATCTTAGCCACACTTCAGAAGGCTGTCCCATCACTTTGTTCCCAGGTGCTGTGGCACGTGGTAGACTAGTGGATCCCACTGTCACATGGCCATCACCACCTTCTCTGGCTGTGAGTTGGGTTTCTTGATCAGAAGCAAGTTGGGCAGAATTCTATGCTGGTAAGTCAATCTGTGCTTCCTCAGTCAGAGCACCATGCAGAGCTCTGAGGTAGAAAAGATAAGAATGTCTAAAATGTGCTCATTCCAGTTGTGTTGAAGCCAGGCTCCTTCCAGAGAGGAAGGACTCCACCAAGTGGCTGGGCTGGTCTCCCTGAGGAATGAATGGCATTGGGCTGGAGACTCCACTTTTGTCTCTGCTGCTGGCAGGTTGGACATTATGGCAGCAGCTGCATCATCCCTGGTGAGGAGATCAGGCTTGGGGACCCACAGCCCCACTGCAACGATTCTTCCTGAGCTGACTGTCCCAGCATTGGGGTGGGTGCTAACAGATGCTGCTGACATCAGCTGGCTGAGGCAGTCTGTCCATTTGGTTGACCACTCCTTTTTCTGGGGATGGATGCTCTCATGTTGACAGTGAAAGGCAGAACGAAGATGTCCACACATTTGCTCACCTCCTTAGGTCCATCTGTAAATACCAAGAGTTGGAAAAACCAAAGTCTGTAGGACAAGTCCACTCACTGCCTGTCTTGTGAATGAAGTTTTATGGAAACACGGCCATAGTCATTTATTTGCAGATTGATTCTGATTTCATCGATACAACAGCAGAGTTGTGTGGTCACACCAGAAACCATATGACCTATGGGTTTAAAATGTTTGTTCAGACCCTTTGTAGAAAAAGTTTGCACACTCTTGTTCTGTTGTTTTTGTGTCTAGGTCTCACTGCATACTCCAGGCCTGAACTCACTAAATTTCCCAGGCTGAATTTGAACTTGTGATCCTCCGCCTTCAGCCTCCTGAGTGGCTAGGATTACAGGTATGTACCACCATGCCCAACTACTATTATTATAACTGTAAAATGAATTACTGCTTCCCAATGATGACTTGGTAGGTGTAGCAGAAATCAGCTCATGTTGGGCATCTCTGACCACATGGTCACTTGATGTCCCATAGTCAGCTGTTCCATCTCCAATATGGCCCAAGAGAACGCCAAGAACTGTTTATGGAGTGATGTATAACTGTCTGAGGTTTGTCAGATGTTCCTCATGGCCTTTTTTCTGTGTACAAACCTCTAACATCACAAAGCATCCTGGGCCACCTGGCATAAGTCATAGGGTTGCTTGTAATGCAGCATGAACCATTTGCAGAGCCTTTTCTTGCTCTGGGTCTCATTTAAAACTCTCAGCCTTTCAGCTGGCATGGTACCACATGCCTGTCATCCCAACACTCAGGTGGGTAAGGCAGGAGGATCAGCATGAGTTTGAGTCCAGCCATGACTACATAGTGAGTTCAAGGCCAGCCTGAAACAAACATTTCATGTAATCAACTCAACAAGCCAGCACAGATTTCCCCAGCAGGAAGCATACTAACTCCAGAACCAAACGGGTTTCCAAGAATTGTGCTTCCTCTTCAGCAGATTCCTAACCACTACACTGACATACTTGGCCCCAGAACCTTCCCTTCTTTAGAAAGCATGTGTCTTAAAGGCTTCAGCACAAGTGCGCCAATTACATGATGTTACTGACATAAGGGACCAATGCAATGCTCTTCAACTGCTCAGCTACTCGAGACCAATATGTAGTCTATGCTAGCTCATAGAACATGTTTAAGTAAGTGCAAAGGAATTGAAGTTATCCCCTGAATATTATCAGACCATAGTGCAATTAAACTGGAGATCAATAGCATAAGAAACAGCAAGAACTTCACAAACACATGGAAATTAAATAACACCTGCGGAACAACCATTGGGTCACAAAGGAAATTAAAGAAGAAATTAGACAGTTTCTACAATTAAATGATAATGCCAATACAACATGCAGGAATCTATGGGACACAATGAAAGCAGTTCTATGAGGGAAATTCACAGCAGTAAATGCCCATACTAGGAAAACAAAGCGAGCTCAAATAAAGAACCTAATGCTTAACCTTAAGCTTCTAGAAAAAGAAGAGCAAGACAAACCAAAAGTTCATACAAGGGAGGAAATTATAAAGATTGAACAGAAATCATTGCAATGGAGACTAAGAGAACGATACAGAAAAAAAAATCCATGAATCACAATTGGTTTTGTGAAACAATAAATAAAATAGATAAACCCTTAGCCAACCTTATCAAAAAAAGGAAGGAAAAAGCTCAAATTCATGCAATTAGGAATGAAAAAGGTGAAGTCACAACAGATTCACCAGAAATCCAGAGGATCATCAATACCTACTTCAAAAACCTGTACTCTACTCTAAGAAAATGGAAAGTACAGAAGAAATGGACAGATTCCTACATGCATATGAACTTCCAAAGTTTTGTTTTCTTTTGGTTTTTTTGAGACAGGGTCTCACTACGTAGTTGACATTGACCTGGAACTCACTATGTAGCCTAGGCTGGTCTCAAACTCACAGTGATCCTCCTGCCTCAGCCTCCCTAGTGCTGGGATTACAGGTGTGTGCCATTGAACTTCCAAAATTGAATGAAGAAGATATTAAAAGTCTAAATACCCCAATTACAATGAAATTGAAAACGTCATTAAAACATTATCAACAAAATAAAGCCCAGGTCCTGATGGCTTCAACGCTGAATTCTACAAGACATTTAGAGAAGAACTACTGCCACTACTCCTTAAACTCTTCAATGAAATTGAAAGGGAGGCAAGACTTCCAAATTCTTTCCTGGAAAAGCAAGTGTTACTTTGATTGCCAAACCAGGGAAAGACCCAACCAAAAAAGAGAACTACAGGTCAGTCTCCTTAATGAACAGAGATGCAAAAATCCTCAATAAGATACTGGCAAACGGAATACAGAAGATCATCAAGAAGATCATATGCCCTGACCAAGTTGGATTTATCCCAGGGATACAAAGATGGTTCAACATATGAAAATCAATAAATGTAATACACTATATTAACAGAGTCAAGGACAAAAACCACAAGATCATCTAAATAGATGCAGAAAAAGCATTCGACAAAATTCAACACTCATTCATGATAAAAAAACCCTACAGAAAATTGGAATAGATGGTTTTTATCTCAACCTGATAAAGGCTATTTATGAAAAACCAACAGCCAATATCATACTAAATGGTCAAAAACTGAAAACCTTCATGATAAAATCAGGAACAAGACAAGGATGTCCACTATCACCACTCCTGTTCAGTATAGTTCTAGAAACATTAGCCATCGCAATTAGACAAGAGAAACAAATAAAAGGAATAAAGATAGAAAGGAAGAAGTTAAACTGTCACTATTTGCTGATGATATGATACTTTACATGGAAGACCCAAAAAAGTCTGCCAAAAGATTTCTAGACCTAATTGACAGATACAGTAGAGTAGCTGGATACAAGTCAACTCTCAAAAATCAATAGCTTTCTTGTAAAAATAACAAACTCACTGAGAGAGAAATTAGGGAAACAATTTATTTCACAATAGCATCCAAAAAAAATGAAATATTCAGGAATCAATCTAACTAAGGAGACAAAAGACCTCTACACTGAAAATTACAGCACACTGAAAAATGAGATAGAAGATGGAAAGACATCCCTTGCTACTGGGTAGGAAGAACCAACATAGTAAAAAGGAGCCAACAATCCTCACTGGAGGAAAGATAGCCTCTTTAATAAATGGTGTTGGAAAAACTGGCTTTCAACTTGTCAAAGACTAAAACTAGATCCCTATCTTTCACCATGCACTAAACTAAAATCCAAGTGGATTAAAGATCTAAATATCAAAATGGAAACACTAAACTTACCGGAAAGTAAATTATGTAGAACTCTCAAAGACATTGGCATAGGAGAAGACTTTATGAATAAATCCTCAGCAGCACGAGAACTTGCACAAAGAATCAACAACTGGGATATAATTGTGTTAAAAAGTTTTTGCAGTGCAAGAAACTACCAACAGAGCTAAAAGACAACCTACAATGTGGGAAAAATATCTACCCGCTGCTCCTCAGACAGAGGACTACTATCTAGAATACATAAAAGAACTCAAAAAAGACCCCCCCAAATACAAAGAACTGATTCAAAAATGGATATCTGAAATGAACAGACATTTCTCAGACAAACAAGTAAAAGCAGTAAATAAGTATATGAAAAAATGTTCAACATCACTGGTCATTTAAGAAATGTAGATGAAAACAACACTGAGATTCCATCTCACCACAGAAGGAATGGCTGCTATCAAGAAATCAACCAACAACAAATGCTGTGGGGAGAACGGAACCCTTCTCCACTGTTGGTGGGAGTGCAGACTGGTGCAACCACTATGGAAATCAATATGGAGGTACCTCAAAGAATTAGGATTAGCAGCCCCATTTGACCCAGCCATCCCTCTGCTGGGTATCTTTCCAAAAGAATTAAAAGAATCATACTACAGCGATACATGCTCACCCATGTTTATAGGGGCATAGTTTGTAATAGCTAAAACCTGGAAACAACACAAATGCCCATCAACTGGAGACTGGTTAAAGATGTGGGTTTTTTAATAAGATGGAGTACTACTCAGCCATAAAGAATGAAAACTAGAGACATTTATAGCTAAATGGATGCACTCTGAGGCTATACTCTTAAGTAATAGGACACACGAGTAAATACCGAATAGTTTCTCTAGTACAAAAAACTAGAAGTGTAAATAATGTTCACATGGTATAATTGATAATGTGAAATGGGAAGAAAATGGCTAAGGGGGAAATGGGAAGGGGAGGGGAGAGGGAAAGGAAAAAAATGTGAAAAAAGGAAAAAATGGAAACAAAATCTTTGTAAATTGGGAGGGGTGGAGCGGGTGAAGGGAAGGCAGGAGTATGGGGAAAAAACAAGGACAAGACTTATCATGTAAAGGTACAAGATCCCAACGATAAATTTAACTGTATTATTTGTTTTAACTGTACCAATAAATTTAATGGGAAAAAATAATACTCCAAAAAAAAAAAAAGAGAGAGAGAGAGAGAGAATCTATTATGTGGTCTATTTATGATACCATTCTGTGTGTAAAACAGCCACATATTCTTTGTTGATGCTGCCTTCGAGACGTGGGTCCTAATTTCCCAACTCTCATGGATGGGGGACATGCTTGGGGGCATTAGCTGTCACGTGAGGGCACCCAAGCCACCAGGGACTGGTCCATGAGATGAAGAACCGAGGCTCCCTGCCAGCGGCCAGGCGAATGAGTCATCTTGGAAGTGAGTTCTTCAGCCCCACGGCAGCCCTCAGAGAATCACAGGATGGGAAGACACCCGAGCTGCGACCGCGTTAGAAATGCTTGAGCCTACCCATCCAGCGGAGCCCTCGCACCTTCCGCACCCGGGAAAGCGAGGCAATGAATGTTAGTATCTGTCCTGGGCCTCCCAGACCCAGCTCTCCAGCCCGCAGCGTGCAGACGGAAGTGCGAGGAGGCGCCTGGATCGCAGCCAGGCTTCTGCCTCCTGGCAAACAGCTCCAAGGGCGCCTCAGATAGAGCCATTTGTCATCGCAGCCTTGCATTGGCTTCCGGTCCGCTCCACCCACCCACCGTCCCCCAATCCTCCTCTTCCTTCCCTACACACAGCCTTTGCCTGCTTACAGGGCACACACGACACGGTCATGACAACAGGCATCGACACCATACACATCTGAGTATGTATATAACATTTGCCAAGAGTTAGCGTCTTACCTTACCAAAGCAGAAAGACAAACGGCAGGGATAATGCCTGCTTTCCTTGCTATGACTTAACATCACTTTGGAAGTGAAAGCCAAACAAATTGTACAAGAAAAAGCATGTTAGATGAGAAACATCACAACTGAAAAGGAAGAGATAAAATGATCTCTATTTGTAGATAACACAATTGCTTGTGTGACACGCCTAAAAGAACTGAAAGGGAAACCATCAAAACAATAAGTACATTTAATGAAGTACCAGAATTGAAAAATCAACCTGGAAACTGGGTGTGGGGGCCACTCCTGTAATCCCAGCACTCTGGGAAGCTGAGGCAGGAGAATCACTAGTTTGAGCCCTGCTCAGTGCCAGGGACCTGGGTCCTCTGTCCCCCTATAAATCCAATCCGCATGTAGAAAGTAAAATCCCTAATATATAAGTAGTAGGTAATTAGAAAACATAATGAAAAAGAAGATCAATTTGAAATAGCAACAAAACAGTAAAATATTTAGCACAGACCAAAAGGAAATGTGCACAACTTATATTGATTCCTTTGTAGGAAAGTAGGTGCAGCCGGAGACCATAATAGCAAGTGAAATAAAGCAGACACACAAGCTTAAATATCGCATGGTTTCTCTTATATGAGAAGCCCAAAGTATAAATAATGAGCAAAATAAAAGAGAGAGAATAGGAAATAGTAAGACAGATCTTTCTCAAACGAGAAGGGGACCAAGGGACGGAGGGAGGGGAGGACGGGGTGAAGAAAGGGATGAGGATGTGTCATGTACATGTGTCAACGCCACAGAAGGACGGTAACCATATGGCCTGCAGACGCGCACTAAAGAAACACCTGCGACACACACATGTATGATGCAAAAGTGGGCTTAACCAGATGGGAAGTCGTGTTCTTCACAGGAAGACTCTGGAGAAGTCAGTGCTGCCTACGTGAGTGCTAATCGCGATCTTGCTGCAAATCATCATCAGGTTTTAGTTGTGTGCTTCGTAGAGCTGCTCTTTTATGATATACAGTTCCTTTGGGAGAATAAACAAGCAAGAATAGCTAGTAAAATTCCTTACTAGGCATGCAGAGACTCGTCTCCAAGACATTAGATCATCGTACAACTTCTATAATTAAAAATTCAGTATGGACACGTCAGTGGAAAGACCAATGGACTGAAACTAGAATCTAGAAAGAGGTCTGAGAGCCAAAGGAAGTGTGGTCTGCGATAAGGGACGCATCTCATGACTGTGGGGAAAAGAAAAACACTTAAATAAATGACACGGAAACAGCTGTGTATGCATATGGAAAAAGATCACTTCAGATCAAATCTCCTCAAATACCAGGATACTGGTGAATGAGCAAGGGGTCTAATGTGAAAAAGGACAACATACAAATACTAGATAGGAAAGTGAGTGAACTGATCTCTATTCCTTCCCTTTTCTTCCTCCTCTTCCTCTTCCTCCTCCCTCTCCTCACCCCTCTCCCTCCCTCCCTTCCTCCCTCTCTCTCTCCCTCTCTCTCTCTCTCTCTCTCTCTCTCTCTCTCTCTCTCTCTCTCTCTCTTTCCAGAACTAGAGACTTCACTCTAACGTCCATCCCAGCCCTTTTAATTTTTTTAATTTTGGGGCCAGGGATTTGGCTCAGTGGTTCCACCACCTGCCTCGCAAGTGCAAGGGCCCGAGTTCAATCCCCCCTACTAAAAAAAAAAAGTTTTGTTTTAAAATTTTGATACAGGGTCTTGCTGAGTTACCCAGACTGGTTTTGACTTTGCAGTCCTCCTGCCTCAGCCTCCCAGAGCTCAACTCTCTTATAACCTGAGAGTGGGTGAGGTGAACATTGACAGCTTTAAAAATCAGAACAAGGCTGGGGATTTAGCTCAGCGGTTCGGTGGCCTGCCTTGCAAGCGCAAGGACCCGAGTTCAATCCCCGGTACCAAAATAAAAAAAAATAAAAATCAGAACAAATGGTAGAAAAGAGTGGTAACTCATATGGCAAAGGAGGAGAGGAGAGAAGAGAAATTTTCAAAAACAACTTTGGAAAGGTACTAACGACACACAGTGGCAAGTGCTGGTACCCATAGTATATGAAGAGCTCTTGAACATAGAGAATAGAAAGGCAAATGGGAAAGTTGCTCAACGTTTTTCCTCATAAAGGAAGTGCAAATTAAAATTGCCCTGAGATAACGCACCACTCCTATCAGATTGGTGAGACTCCAAATGTCTGACAGCCACTCTGAGTATGAGATTCAGGCTCTCATTCAGTGTTCATGGAATGCAAAATGATACCATCTTTATGGAAGCGATTTGGCAATATTTAGCAAAAGTGAATGTGCAATTACCCTTTGATTTAGCAATCCTACTTCTAAGAATCTATTGCCATGACTCACTGGCAAAACTACAGCAGTCTGTATAAACAAGGCACGATTGGCTGAATGGTTTCTCTGTACAGTGGAATACTATACAGCTGAGAAAAGCAATGAGAAGAACCCCTATTGAGAGATTCCAGGATATATTGATAAGTGGGGAAAAAACAAGGTGTAGAGTGGGTAAGAAGGAAAGTGTGGAAATATGAACATATAAACATATTTGCCTATATTTTTATTAAGAAGCAACAAAAGTATAAATGGTTACCTACAGAGGAACCCTTCCTCTTCCTCTTCCTCCTTTTTTTTTTTTTTTTCTGTACCAGGCACTGAACTCAGGACCTTGTGCTTTCAAGGCAGGCACAGTGCCACTTGGCCTTTCTTTTATATTTTGGTACAGGATTTCTGTATATATTCCAGACTGGCCTTGAATTGCCCCACAATTTAAGTTTGATTTTTGAAGACAGGGCCTTGCTATGTATGTAGTTCACCCTGGCCTTGAACTCACTATGTAGCCCAGCCTGGCCTCAAACTCCTGGCAATCTTTCTGCCTCAGCCTCCCTAGTGCTCAAATTATAGGTTTGCACCACCATAACTAACTAGAGAAATTTTTTTTTTTTGGTACCAGGGATTGAACTCAGGACCTTGCACTTGCAAGGCAGGTGGTGGAACCACTGAGCTAAATCCCTGGCCCCTAACTAGAGAAATTTCACCAAAACATTTTTTTTTTTTTAACTACAGAAGATTTCTTTGTTTTGAGACAGGGTCTCACTAAATTTCCAAGGTTGGCCTCAATTTTGTTGTCTTCCTGCCTCAGCCTCCCAAATGCTGGGTGCACACCACCAACGCTAGCCTACAAAGGATCTCATGAAGTGATTTTTAGAACTCAGAGAACCTGCATAAAAATTATACCTGCAGCCTATGATATGTTACATGATTAGCAAGACAGATATAACCAATAATTACAAGCAGTGCCATTTTAAATAGTGCTATTCTTGGGGCAGTTTGTGCATTTTTGCTAACGTCAGCACATTGATTCCTCCAACCCACACAGACATCAATGCAAATCAGTAGTGCAGATAAAATATTCATTCAAAATATCTCCCTTGGGGGCCAGGAATTTAGCTCAGTGGCACAGTGCCTGCCTCGCAAGTGGAAGGTCCAATAATAATAATAATAATAATAATAATAATAATAATAATAATCTTCCTTGATTATCTTACATTATCCAAGAGGGTCTCAAGTCTTGAATGTAGCTCCGTGACATAGTGCTTGCCCAGCATGTATGAGGTCCTGGATTCGACCCTGCACACCATAAAACAAAGAATTAGCACAGATTTCTACTCTACAGGACGCTAGGAATCATAACGTGTTGTGCATGCTTTTTCCTCACTGCAAACTAAAAGATGACTTTCTGGGTGGACTTTTTTGTTGTTGGTTTTTGTTCTTTTTAGTTAGAGTCAAGGGCTCTACCACTAAGCTGTACCCCCAACTCTAACCAAAATTTCTTGAACAACAATTTAAATAGTTAACTTTAGCCTATCTCTTTTTCTTTTCATTTATTTATTTATTCATTTGCTGTGCTGGGGATTGAACCCAGGTCCTCATGGATGCCAGGCAAGTGCTCTACCACTGTTATACCCTCGGCCCTCACAATATTTTACAACAGCTTTACCAAAATATACTTCACATACCATATAATTCATCTTTTGAAAATGTATAATTCTATGGCTTCTAGTACATCCACAGGCAGTGCATCCATCACCAAAGCCTATTTTAGGACATTTATCACCTCCCAAGGAAACCTCACGTCGCTGGCTATGGTCTTCCTGCCCTGCCCCCAGCCCAAGGCACCACACATCTCCCAAGTGGAATCAGAATACGTGGCCTCTTGTGACGGCTTTCTTTCATTTAACATCATGATGTCAGGTTCATGCATGTTATAGCTCGGACACTCCTTCTACAAACAAGCAAGATTCTATTTTGTGGATTTACCATACCATATTTTGATTATAGATTCATGAGGTAAACATAGTTACTTCTACATTTGGGCAATTATGAGTTGCCCTTTTGTTATAAATATTTTTGTAACAGTTTTATGTGGACTTTTTTTTGTTTATTCATTTATTTTATTTTTTGGAGACAGGTCTTGATATGTAGTCCAGGCTGGCCTTGAAGTCACTATGTAGCCCAGGTTGGCCTCAAAGGCATGGCAATCGTCCTGTCCAGCTTCCCAGAGTGCTGCGATCGCAGGCGTGACCACACCCGGCTCATGTGTTATCTTTGTGTTCAGTCATTTGACGAAGCGACAGGCTTTTGGCTGCACCCTTCTCAATTGCCACCAGCACTGTAGGATTTCCCTCTCTCCACAGGGCCACCACCTGTCTTTCGAGCGCCGTTCTATTAGTGGGTACGAAGTGCTAGCTCCCTGTGGTTTGGGTTTGGATTTCCCTGATAACTAAAGACGTGAGTATCTTTTTTTTTTTTTTTTCTTCTTACTGAGTTTATTGGTACATTCTAGGTATACAATACAGTTACATTCATTACTGCGATCTTGTACCTTTACATGAAGACATTAGTATCTTTTCGTGTGCTTCTTGGCCATTGCTATATCTTCTATGGAGAAATGTCTGCTCCAAACCTTTGCGTATGAAAACAGTTTTAACAGGACCTGGTGGTGCACACCTGTAATCACAGCACTGGAAAGGCTGAAGCAGGAGGATTGCCGCGACTTCGAGGCCAGCTTGGGCTGCATAGTGAGACCCTGTCTCAAAAAGAAAAACAACAACAAAAATTAAACTGTAGTGCAATACACATAAAATTCACCAGGTTCATTATTTTAAGTATACACTTCAGTAGTGTTAAATATATTTACATTGTTGTACTTTGCCCATTTTTTAATGGCAACTTTTAGTGAGTTGGGTCTGAGCTCTAAGAGCTGGGCGGGCTGTTCCAGCCCCATCTGCGGACCCCGCCCCCCCAGAGCTCGCTCCGCTGAGGACCTCAGGACCGTTCCCCGCAAGACCCTGCAGCCCGCCGAAGGGGCAGAGCCGCGCCCCAGCCTCAGTCCCTCCCGCACCCAGCGCTCCTCCGCGCCGGGGGCCGCTGCCACCCAACGGAACGGACTTTCACTTTGGTAAACCCTGCTCCTCTTGCGGCTCCCTTTGGCGTCCTGCTCCATGTTTTGTTCCGATGCGGTGACCCGCGGGAGTGCCGCTCCTCGCACAGGGGCGCGGCGCTTCGGATCTGGGCTCAGGGGGGTTAGGCCCACACAGCCCGGCGCCCTGGGAGACTCCTCTCGTGCCCCGCTTCTTTTCACATTATTAGAGAATAAGATCGCACTGTTGTTCAATTCATATGGACTTATTTTGCAAACTTTATCAAAGCAAATCATACCTTATGTTATTTCCCTTTACATATACTGGAAACGTTTTTGTGTGTGCCTTTAAAAGACTTCCTAACATGATAGTGCCGGCATGATTTTCTGAAGTTGCATGTCACACATTCAAGTCATTTCCCACAACAAGTTTCATAGTTCTGAATAGGGTTGCAGTGAATGTTATGGTAAGTAAATCTACTGCCTCTCTGTCTCCTTGGGCTAGGTTCCTTGAAGTGAGTTACTGGATGTAAGCATTTGAACATTTAAAATCTCTATGTGAATGTACATATTTGGAAATCTTATTTTAAAAAGTCAGTGTGGCTGGGTGTGGCGCACACATCTGGGAGGCTGAGGCAGGAGGATCACAAGTCCAAACTCAGGTTGAGCAACTCAGTGACTCAGCAGGACCCTGCCTCAAAAATTTTTAAAAAGGACTGGGGCTAAAACTCAGTGTCAAGGCCTCAGTTTCAATCCCTGATGCCATAAAATATCCATCCATCCATCTATCCATCCATTAAATGTGATATGTGAAGAAATGATATCATCCTTCAGTTTGCTACCAGAGCCTCCTGGGATTACTAACATTTTAACAATTTGAGGGAGAAAATCAGGAGATGTTATGTGAAAAAGGACCCAGAACTTGCTCTTCAAAGATAGCTCCTATAACTCAAGCTATATGCACACCCACTGCTGCCAGGGATTGGGGCCATCACTGGAGCTGGACAGACTGGGCCTTGAAGCCAGCACCTTTGGGTGCCATCTTGGGCCAGAGTCACAGAAGGCAGCAGGAGGAACCCCCATTTCCCTGTGCCCTGTGGGTCTCCTGAGGTCACAAACAAGGCTCAGCTTTTGCCTGTCCTGAAGGGGACACTCAACAGCCATCATGGTCAGGACAAACCCAGGTGCTTGGAAATATAGTCAGTCATTTGCCACTTAATGACATTTCAGTAATGACAGACCACACACTGGTGTGGGACAGTGACCCAGAAGAGTGTGTACCCTCAGCAATGTTTGCACAGTAACGAGCCAATCAACGGGGGGGGGAGGCAGAGCCGAGGGGCGGGATGTAGAGGGGCCAGGCCCATTGGTCCCTGCCCTGGGCTGTGTTTGCAGGGTTGGTGATCGGCTTCCGCGGGGAGCTGGCACGCTGCAGCATCCCCTAATCCTCTCTACATCCCTCCCCTCCGCTCTGCCTCCCCCGCCTCTTGGCCCTCCCTTCTTCCTGTTATCCTTTATTTTGCTCTTTATTTATTGGTTTCTCTTATATGAAAAATGTGGTATTTAAGCTTCTGTGTCTGATTTATTTCACTTAACATTACGGCCTCTAGGTGCATCCGTTTTCTTGACGGAAGGCTCAAATCGATCCACCTTCATGGCAGAATAGTACTCCGTAGTGTGTACCAAGTATCGCACTTCCAGTCTCCACCCCTCCGCGGGAGACTGAGAGGCTCACTAGGGTATCTTCAGTCATTGTCACCCTCAGCTGAGGCAAGGCGGGTGAGGAAGGTGGGAGGTCCTTCTCTGCGGCCCAGAAAACTGAGGCCCAGAAGGATGACGGGAATTGCAGGTGTGAGCTAAGCTAGAACTACAGTCTGATTTAATTCCCAGGCCCTCAGGGGCTGTCCCCTGCCCAGGGGAGCCACTGGGCGCGTCTGCCCCGAAGGGCTGCTGAGACCTGCATTTCACCGGTGTGGGCCAGTATGCGAAATTACAGAAGCACCTCAGGGGCTCACTGTGGACACTGAATTATTCCAGGTGACTTTGCTGAGGTGACTGGAGGGTCCAGAGCAACAATTTAAAGCCGATTTTTAGGGAGCCAGGTGCGATGTTAGCTGCATGTAATCTCAGCTGCTCGGGACCCTGAGGCAGGAGAATCCCAAGCTCAGGGCCAGCCTGGGTAATATAGGGACTCCGTCTCAAAAGTAAAATGTGTGGGAAGGGACAATACTAAGTTCAAGAGGGCTGAGCAGAAGACTCAATAAAAATTGTAATTAAGATCTTGAGAGATAAGCTACTGTCTTCATTAGACTATAATACAATAGTATTTAATTTTTTTCAAGACCCATAATCGAACTCAGGGCCTTGTACTTGCCAGGTAGGTGCTGTGCCACTGAGCTACATCCCCGTCTCTTTAATTTTATTTATTTATTTATTGGTACCAGGGATTGAACTAAGGACCTTGCGCTTGGTGCCACTGACTAAATCCCTGGCCCTGAATCTTTAATTTTAGAAAGAATGACACCATTGAAAAAGAAGAGGCCATGAGATAGCTGACCAGGTTTTGATGCTGGTGCTTTTTAAACCAAGAAGTCTAGCTAAGTGCATACAAAACATGAAAACTTTTCTGGACTTGCACAGTAGAAAAAGGAACCCAGTGGCCAGACAACAGTGGGGGTCCTTCCTCACAAGCCGCTGTGGGCCAAGCTGGAAGCCCAGCCCTTCCTCCTGCAGCAAAAAGGCAGGGACGAGGGGCTGGGGACTTGGCTCAGTGGTTCCACTGCCTGCCTTGAAAGTGCAAGGTCCCGAGTTCAATCCCTGGTACCCGCTCAAAAAAAAAAAAAAAAAAAAAAAAAAAAAAAAAAAAAAAAAAAAAAAAAAAAAAAAAAAAAAAAAAAAAAAAAAAAAAACAAGAAGGCAGGGATGGGAGGCTCTAGGGCAGATGGGAGACTTCAGACCTGTGAAAAACTGCCAAGGAGCATCATACAAAGCTGCTGGGACATAGAATATGTGGACAGAGTTTCCAGGAAAGCTCAATGCATGGCAGAGTGAGGCAAAAGAAAAGCTGTGCTGAAAACGAAATGTAGGGGGCTGGAAATTTAGCTCAGTGCCTGTAATTCCAGTACTCAGAGGCTGAGGCAGGAGGATCACTGTGAGTTTAGGCCCAGCCTGAATTACAGAGTGAGACACTGTCTCAACAAACAAACAAACAAAATAAGAAACCAAAAGCCCCTTTCTGCCATGATGGAAGTCAGTGCACTAATGGATGAATAATGAGTAAGACCAATTCTCAAGAGATGTGAATATTTTAATTATAAAAAGAAATTGTAGAGCTGCGGATTTAGCTCAGTGGTTCTACTGCCTGCCTCCAAAGTGCAAGGTCACCAAGTTTGATCCCCAGTACCAAAAACAAAAAAACAAAAACAAACAAACCAGAAATAAATAGCAATTTTAAGAAATGAAATCAATTGACAGTAGCTACCCCTGGGATGTTGAGGAGGGGAGAAGAGGGAGACACAGATTAATGATTTTGTTATAGATTTTTAAAGCCATCTGCATACATTACTTTGGTTATATACACATCTTGTAGCCTCCGAAGGTAATTCTAAGAATGTATAACCTGATAGTGTCGCTTGGTTGAATTTCAGACAGAAGAAATTTGCAGCACAAACAGCCAACAAAAAGTTTGCAGGTAGAATAAAAACTTTTTAGGAAGAACTACAGATAAACGAACTCATGAATATGCTTCATAAATATATGAAAAATTTCTCACTAGAAATCAGAGACATAAATTAAAAGCACAGTAAGACACCATTTTAATTTTTATCTCTTTGAATCATTGACTTCTAAATGAAAAATACAAGCCACTACGAGGCACAGTGTGCACCCCTGTAATCCAACCATGCTGGGGAGCTGAGACTGTCGGATCACAAGTTTGAGCCCAGCCTGGGTAACTTAAAGACTTAGGGAGACACTGTCTCGAAATTTAAAAGAGGCTTGGAGATGCAGCTCAGTGGTAGAGCGCTTGCCTAGACGTGGAAGGCCATGGTGCAGTCCCCGGCACCAAGCAACAAACAATGTTGGTGCCACATGCCTATCATCCCAGCATTTGAGAAGCTGAGGCAGGAGGACCTCCATGAGTTTGAGGCCAGCCTGGGCTACAAAGCAAGACTCTGCCTCAAAAAGAAAAGAAAAAAAAAAAAAGACAAAAACCTCTGGAAGATTAAAGAATTAGATGAAGATGGTCCCTGACTTCAAATTTTTTGTCTTTACAATTGTACAAAAGTGGGCAGCCGTTCTGCTTTTTCACTTTCAGTACAGTATTCAATAAATTACACTAGATAATGACACTTTTAGGGCTGGGGCTGTAACTCGGTTGTACAGTGCTTACCTAGTAAGTTTAGTGTCACACACACCCATGTGCATGGATATCTAACACTTTAGCATAAAATACGGTTTTGGATGATTTTTGTCCAACTGTGGGCAAGTGTAAGTCCAAGGCGAGTGAGCATATTTAAGGTGGGCTGCGCCAAACGGTGATATTCCCTGGTCAGGTTTGCATTAGCCAGCTTTCCTGTCACTGGAACTTT